TCTTCTCCAGCTCATCCCAGGGTGCAATTTCCTTTCACCTTTCCTGTCACCTCAGGGAAGACCTCAGTCAACTTCTCAGATATTTCTAAAACTCCCCTCAAATTCCACCCCTAACAGAAATCCATAAAAGCCCCAGCTTTCTTTGTCTCAGGCCAGAGGATCTCCCTGACCCATCTATCCTTGATCCTCTCCATGTCTTTGGAGTTAATAAAGTCTTCTTTTATCTTTCCTATGTGTGTACTGCACCTCTAAAAATCCTATCAACATATGTTTTGTTATTCTGTCTTCTTTGCTAGGGCATATGTGACATCTTGCTGGTCTTCCTGTCTTCTTAGGAGGTTCTTACAGTGTTTCACCTGCCTGCTTCATAGCACTTCTGCAAAGTTCTTTCCTCTGCTGTAATTGTTCATTTGTTAATTCTAGTCCCAATCTGCTAAGAAGTTTCTCCATGACATCGTGTGCTTGTTGTTTTCTTTGAAGATTATGAAACTGTTTATACCTGATATATTTAGGGTCCAGTAAAACATAAGCACAGGCCAACTCTTTGTCTTTTGAGTGACATTATCATTGCTGCATATCTCATCCACAAAATCTACTCCATCTTCTGGTTTGGGGAAAATGTGACCATTTCTGGCTTCATTTGTGTTTAGGAGTCACTATTGATCTTTTGTTTGTTTTTGAGACAGGGTCTCACTGTGCAGTTTAGACTAGCTTTAAACTCACTATGTAGCACCCGCTGACCTTGAATTTGCAGGATCCTTCGGCCACAGCCACCCCCACCCCCATGCAATGCCAGGATTACAGCTGTGCACCACCAGCCCAGCTTCAGCATCAATCTTAGCAACATGGTGTTTCATTGACAGTAGCAATATTAATTTATTTTTCTTCTTCAGAATGTAGTCTAGGATAGTCTGCAACTCACTATGTAGCACAGACGGACTTTAAACTCAAAAAATCCTCTTGCCTCATTCTCCCAAGTTCTGCGATTACAGACATAGACCATTAAGCCAAGCTTTAATGTCAATTTTATTACTATGGAATAATAGACAGTATCAGCACTACTTTCTTTTTCTTCACCATATAGGAAGCCAGTATTATGTCTTTCTAGAATCCAAATATTGTGCTATACATTTCTCTGTTGTGAACTTGCAACATATTTTCAGGAATCTCCACTTCATTCTTGTGAATAGATCCTATGCTACTGGTATTTCTTAAAGTAAATATAACATCAGTGGGCAATTTGTGTACAGATTTTGAATGTGACCTTTGAGTTGCTTTCTGAAATAGGTTCAATCCTTTTCACAATGTCATACAGTTTAATACTGTATGAATAAAGATCTGGTGACTGAGTTCCAGGACAGATAGCTAAATTTCAGGTGTAAAATGTTTTCACATCTACTGGGGCATGTATTTTTATACCGTGTTCAGAAGGTTTATTTGGGATATATTGCCAAAACCTTCAACAACCACAAGAGGATGCAAGTTGTTTGTTAACTGTCATGTATTTAGATGGTGCACAAATTGCTTGATAGATCGAAACAAAGCTTTTAAAAAAATGAGCAGATAGCAGCCAAATTGTCACATTTTTTTCTTTTTGCTTTCTTTTTTTGTCACCAAAATGTAGGAAATTTTGAAAGAAGGCAAATCGCTTCACAGTGTTATTATTGTTCTAAAAGTTTCAATGCCACATATGTCACTTCTCCATAAATGGTTTAGAGTCTGACGATTAGAAATGTAAAGTCCTACTTTATATGGAGACTTTTACTTCAGATAATGAGATGTCATAATAAGTATATTTTTGAGTATTTTACTTACATCTCATTATTAGTGGATTTTAAAATATCTTGTAGCATATGATGCATTACCAACAACTTCCAACAACTCATTGCAGAGTTGGCATTCTGTCCAGTAGGTTTTATCCCTGGCAAAAACCTAATAATGTTTTCTGAACTAGTTTTAACAGATTGATTAGGTATATGCAATCATTTTGTAGCATTTTCACTAAACATTTATTAGCATAACTTTTCTTTCTTATCTGAACCAAAGTCTTAATTCTCCATTTCTCTCTGGCATATCTTGCTAACTTCCTTGGCTTACATGGTTCAAGTCTTCCTTGGTAGCTGGACCGCTCATGAGTCACTTTCAGCTTCCTCCTAAAGTTGTCAAAGCAGATTTTCACGTGACATTTTACTGAATTGAGATAATTATACATAAAGTTCAAAACAAGATGTGTAATGGAAATTATAAATATATAAAAATGTAGCACAGCTCACATTGTGAGTAAAGCTTACCTATTTACCCAGTAACTCACGTGTACACATTTTGCTGTTTGCTGTACCTAATGGGTGGACAGAAGCATTGCTTCCTATATTTCCTCAGCTCAGCTATAGAGAAGCATGGCCTCTCCCTTTATGCTAAACTCCATACTTTCATTAGAAACATATGGTCAGGGTGTATTTTTTCCACCAGGATGTGGCACTGGTACTTCCCTAACTCAGCGTCATCACAAACAAGAATGTTAGTTGAAGTGAAAATGAGCTTTCCAATTTGTTGATCATGAACATGAGTGCTGTTGGAAAAGCGAATGTATCAGTAACACAGTGGGTTGGGTTTGTAGATCATCACTTCAGTGATGCTCAGGCAACTGCAATGCAAGAGCTACTAAGAGAGGCATGTTTAGCCATATGAAGGCAGAGGACATGAATTTCATTTCAGTAAATCTTTGCATTGCACTACTATTTCAGATATATAACATAAATCTGCAATTTTACCAATTCTTCTGCTGTGGGTTTTGTGTAAGAAATTTTTTTCTTAGTCATATAACACAGAACTAAATTAAATAAAATTGAACTGGCTTTAGCTAGTAGGAACTTCTTATGTAAGGAATTGTATTTACTATCCTATCTATAATTGAATTGGTGGAAGTGTAGTTTAGGTAGGAATATAAAATGTTATCCTAAACGAATTATAAGAAGTAAAGCCATGCTGTTATGTTGAGCTGTAGGGGACTCAGGTCAACAATTTCTGACATTACCAGTGAAGTGGAATACCCAATACTATTATGGACTACTGGACTATTTTAGAATATTTTGCTGAGTTTACACACCTATAATATTCAAATAATGGAACTTAACAAAAAAAGGGGATACAGATGAATGTCCATTTTGTATCCGTGTATTCAGAATGGTTAGGATAGATATATAGTTACATTCTCTTAATGAATAGAGGGATTTGTTCTAATGGTGTTTGTCAATAGAATATCATGTCCGCATCTTGTACAGCAATTAACCACTAAGAAGAATGTATGCAATGCAATGTGTTAATTATTGAAACTGTGCTCCCAATTTGGTTTGAAACTGTCTCATTGCTATTTGTTTCTCAATAAAATTATGGGAAAAAATGTTATCCTTTGTGTTGTTATGTAGTTACGTTTTTGTTTAGTTCTACAAGTTAACTATCAAGATTTGTTCTGAATATGCTTGCATTTGTAAAATATGGTGGAATACAATGAAATGATTAATCAGCAGAAAATACTTACGGCAAAAAAATGAGGAAGATTTGTGAATTGTTATATATAATCTTCTCAGTAAAGAAAAAAGTTGAGATTGCTTGGAATCATAAATTAGATTTTTACAACTGTTGGATATAATTGTTGAAAACTAACATTCAGAAATGTCACTCAGGGACTCTAGCAATACACTAGTTTATAATGAAACCTAAAATGAAGGAATGCTTTTGAGAACTACCTTTTCAGCTTCTAGGGAATATGATATAAGAATATGCTCTAGATGAAGAAATACAGAGCAGAATCCATCCTAGAGAGAGTCCATTTACATTAATTGACTCAACTAAGTGAAAAAAAGAAAAACTCTTTGTAGAAAAAAATCTCTTCGGATAGAATATTAAAACAGTAGAAAGACCTGACAGAGTTATTGGATTTGTAGAGAGTGGTTTATTTAGCTGGAATTTTTCTCTCACTTTAAATATTAGAATCTAGGGATGGCAAAAAATGGAGCTTTCAATGATAATAGCCTGCTGCAGCACACATTCTGTCAGTTTGCCACCACTTGGGTTTTGAATGATTTGACCAAAGTGAATCCTTTAATATTAAGGTTTTCTTTATGAACAGGTATTCAGCTTCTAAAGAAAAGATAATCCCTCAACAGAGAAGAAGATATGAACTGTGTATTATAATAAGTATCTATTAACCTATGAGTTAATAGCACACATGATTAATTTATATGGTCAGGATTTCTCTCATAACTACTGACTGCTTAAAACAGTACATCTGTAAGCTTTGGAACTGTATTCCTATTTTTCTTGTGAAATAGACTTTAATCACATTGTCAACAGAGTTTGAAATCAAATACAAGACACTATTAGTCTAGTTTAAGCATTCTGTAAACTTAAGGCTATAAGTTTGGAAATTTTCATTCTTTGCTTTATCAAATTGTTCAAATGAAACAAGTCCTAAGTTTAAATTCTCTTGTTCTTTCTGTCACCAAAGGATCTCATTCCTATCAAATTTTAATAAACATTAGCCAAGGAATTATAGACGCAACTGTTCTAGAACTCTCAGTATTGACTAACTGAGCTATACAAGCTTTTATATTTACTAATACTTTTGGAATCAGAACAAGAAAATGTCACAGAAATGACAGGGACAAGAATAAAACAAAAAATGAACATTTAGACATAGATGACAAATTCTTTCCAATCAGACTTTTTAATTTAGTTTAGTGCTTTTTCACTATAACTATCCCATAACCTTATAAAATTATTGCTTTATAATGTTAATAATATCAAGTACAAAATCAAATCAAATCCTCCCAAATTAAACATCAGCACTACCCCTAATATAAAAGGATTTTTTAAGTGAATGAAATCAATTGGCAAGAAGAGTATATGTACTTCATTCCTGAAATATCCTATACTTGACACCTGAAGTAAAGGATCATGGTCAAGGTCAAGGGCTGGGGAATCACCCATGCATGACTTACTTCTTTGTATCCGAAGATGATGCGTCCATCCATAAGGAGTGTTGCCTGGAATGTGAAGCTCCCCAGGTTGTAATTATCCTGGAGATGTACATGATCCCACTGGACGACCAGGGCTGTCCCTGGAGGGAAAAAGAGGAAATGCAATGAGAAAAAATATCGTTCAATTCATAGGAACATCAATCTGGCCTTCAAATTCAGTAGTTTTACTATTTCAATTCTATGTGGTCAGTTGGAATTCTGGCGCTGAAATAGCATTTAGGATCATTTTTAAAAGACTGAGTACTCTCTAAATATTTGGTAAAAATCTAACCTCATCCTGAGGTTAATATCCAGCCAACCCAGTGTGGGGGACTCTTGCCTAAGGAATTTCATCAATGTTAATGTGTACTATCTGCTTAAATTTCCATGAGCCACTTTCAAAACGCAACCCAAGTGGATTGAATGAACTTCAAATACTTTTGACAAATGCCTAGAAAAGAACACATTCAAAAAACCTAGGCCCACTTATAAAAGACCTTAAAGTGTTTTTTTTTTCAGAGTTATATTCTTTCTCACTGAAGAAGTTCCTATAACACTAATGGGAATTTTCTTCTTTGATTCACAATGTTTGCATTTCTGTCTTTGTTGTACAGCTTCCAGAAGGCTGCAAGGTAACTTGAAGAGCCGTGGGCTAGGATTTCTGAAGTCTTCTTGAAGTGCACCGGGGTGAATCTGCAGGCTATGTGCTAAATTCCGATGCCTCAATCTGCCAGTGTTTACTACAAAACTATTAACATGAAATATAAGTTGAAAACTAGTCTAGTAGTCAAATAGCCAATGAATATTCATCTTCTATGTAAATAGCATTGTATATGCTCCAAATATTTTTTTTTAAGAAAACAGATCAGCTAAGTCTTTTTCTTAATTTTAAATGTTGGATTTTTCTCCTTGGTTAAAAAAAATCTAGTTGCCAAAAAGTTGTGCTAAAAATGAAACAGAACTAAAGGAGCAAAGCTTCTTTTCTCTAGAAAGTGTATGTTTTTTTAAAAGATCACTCTTGTGTGGCAAAATGTTTTCAGCAAGTATTTTGTGTTGTTAGTAATATACAAAAATTTTCTAAGTTACTTACAATTTTAAATATACTATTACTTTAAATATTTTGATTATCCAATTGTGAATACTTAGGGGTTGTTAAAATATAGAGATGTACTGTATTTCCTTGGAGGAAAAATTTAAAAGTTAGATAAATGTTATTGAACTTGATCTGAGTGCTTTTAGCCAGAAGAAACATCACATATTCTGGCCAAGGAGCAAACCCAACTCTCTTCCTTCCATGGGCATGTTCGTGTCTATACTACCATTTCTTTCAAAGTAGAAAAGGCTGGAAGATAAAACTAGCCAGGAAACTGCCCACAATTTTGTAATAACAGTGTGTGTGTGTAATGATGAAACTTCTTTTGCCTGCCTGCATGCTGCCAGCTCTCACACTTCAGGTGTTTCTGCCTTCTCTAATTTCTATCACAGACTAGTGGTGCAGTGGAAGCAAGAGCGAGGCAGCAAAGTCCTAGGTAGAAGTCCTTCTTCTGCAATCCCGCCGTGTAAGGACGGCCATAGCTAGGCTGTATGAACCCACTCCCTCCTCTCCTCTAGTATGGGAAGTGGTAAGTCTTATCCTCAGTGAAGATCCTCATTAAATGTGAGAGAAAACACTGAAAATGAGAGTTCTGCATAAGTTAGACCAATGTTATAATGCAAATTCTGATGAAGATACTCCTAATAGTACAGTGTTAGTAGCAAGTTTTGAAAAACAACACTGTTTGTAAATGTGACGTTTTATATTCTGTTACGGTGTAGCTCCTTCAATATTCATTGAGTTCGGTGCTCTTATACAATACCAATAGAAAGATTTTTGAGTATAAATATTTTCATTAGATTTTTATATAGGCTAAATATTTATATTCTGTGTTGTCAGAGAAACAATGTTTCAAGTTTTATCTTTTATTAATTATTTCTGGAATCCAAAACTTCATGTTATGCTTTTAGAGATAAATGTTTTTTTTTTTTCTGATCAGTTCCTTAGTAGCTTTTTAATCAGTTCCTTACTCAAAATATTGATTTCCAAGCAATGCATACTATGGGAAACAAGTAAGTGGACCAGAAAGGTACTTTCCTTGGAAAACTATGATACAGTGAAACATAAGATTAAAAAACCCACGGGCTGAAGGAATAAATCTACATTTTCAGAGAACTGGGTGGTCTACCTCTAGGCTGTTTCTCTGCAGTTAGTTGAGCACACAGATTAGACCACATTGACTAATCCATTTTCTACTGTTCCCTGATCGGTAACAGACGTCAAGTCTTTATACTCAAAACAAAAACAGAACTAGAATAAACTAGTGCCAAGGTCATTAACAACTGCAAATTTTCTGATTTAAATTAGATCAGGCTTTCTGATTCTATGTTTGATAAAGTTTTCTCATTACTGATAGGAATTTATATTGAATTGTCTATTCTTCAGGACCCATCAAATTAGTTTTCTAGTAAAAGTCGTTACTTTTACAGCTTTTCCATTTTTGCGCATTAATATTTTTTGGCTAACTTAATCTTGTTACCACTCAGGTAAATTACAACTTTTCAAAGCATCAACTCATTTTAAAAATCTAATGCTTGAATTCGTACAGAAATATTATCTTAAAAGCAATATTCTAACCTCTGCACTCTTCTCTAGAGATGCTTTGCTTTGCTAGAATGCTGCTTCCCATCTGTAAGTATTCTGTCAGCTATTCTAACCAACCAGTACTGAGACTATTTCAGCCAATTCTGAAACAGAACTTTGTGAAGAGTCTTACAGTACTGGAAGTGCCTCATTTATTAAATACATACAGCAATTGTTCACCATGCATTATCATATTGTAGGTCTCAGTATTTCTACCAGTCATTACACAGAAAACATTTAAGAAGACAAAAATTATAATTCTTTAGTGTTCCTAAAGAAAAAATTCTTAGGAGTTGAAACTAAAATGTTTATTTATTTTTTATTTAGTCATTCATTGACTATTTATTTTAGACTTACTGCTTATTAAGTACCTTTGCCAGGAAGCAGAGATAGTTTTCTCATCAGTCATAGTTTTTATTTTCAAAGAATTTAGATCCAGATGGAAAATATGCATACATTCATTTTTAAAATGATTTAAAAATTCATTGAAATAAGAATAAACTCAAATATTGAGCTAGCTAGGAAGAGAATATATGAGGGCAGAGAGTTATTAAGCATATTTTATGATTTTGATATTAATAATATAAAAACCTGTTCATCAGAATCCTGTGTTCACAAACAATGTCCCTAATATTGAATAAGTAAAAGGGCTTAGAAAATAATCAACTTTCATGAGCTCATTTAATTACTTTGAATAGGTTTCTAAGTTGGCTTTTGTATAAGCAAGCATGGGACAAGCTCCAGGTAAAATTTTGGCTGGGCTTGTGCCTCAGATGTCCTGGTGACCTGCATGTAGATCCAAATGGATTTCCATACTAGGAGTTTGAAGTAAAAAGTGTAAGGATAGAATATATCAGTTCTTAAAATAACAGATGCAAATAATTATGGTTAATAATTATATTCACATATTTTATGTGATTCAAATTGTTTAATATATATTATTTTACCCATAATTTCTTATCTTTATTAAAGATACAGTTTTCAAAAAGAGGTATAGAAAGAGTATATATCTCCAAGACCTTGAATTTATCATTTGGATTTTATATAATAATAATATAATATATATAATATAACAATTATTACTTATTGTATTATAATAACATATATTACTATTATTATTATTATTATTATTATTATTATTATTATTATTATTGCTATTACTGTTGACAGTAGTGAGGATTGAGTCTTGGGCCTTCACACTGAGCTGAACCTCCTGCCCTCTTTTAAAATCTGAAACAGGGTCTTGCTGAGCATCTAAGTTGCCTGGGATAGATTGAAATTTGTTATCTTCGTGCTTCAGCTTCCCAGAGTGCTGAGAGTTTCTTGTTTGGATGTTGATGACATTTAACAATATATTTGAGGTTTTCTCTATTTCATATACCTCCATTTCTCTATTTCATATAACTATTGTTTGTTGTCTGTACACATGACAAATCTTAAAAGGATCTATTTGAAATTTTTTATTTTCTTATGTATATTTTAAATACTTACTACACTATATTTTTAATTACCTTCAAGATATTTTTAATACTGTGGATCAAACTTGGTACATTGTGCTTCAAGGCAGGTGCTCATGTCACTGAGCTATCTCTCTGGCCTACTACCTTATATTTTTAAAAATGTGTGTTCATCCAGTGGATAACTAGAGTTCATAAATTCTTAATAGCAATATAATATACTACTTGCCTCCACTTAAAGATCAAAACTAGCAAAATTATAGTCTTGTGGATTTTTTAAAAGGAAGGATTTTTTTTTTCCTAAACAAGATTCAATAAAAGTTTGGGGGCCAGAGAGATAGTTCAGTAGAATAAGTGTTTGCCTGGCAAGTGCAGAGTCCTGAGTTCAATCTCTGGTACAATAAATAAATAAATAAATAAATAAATAAATAAATGTATTTAACCCCAGGGGTTATATATAATACTTTTTTTTTTTTTTTTTTTCTTCAGAACTGGGGACTGAACTCAGGGAAGTGCTTATTCTACTGAGCCATCTCCCTGGCCCCAATACCTCTTTCTTTATACTTTTGTTAAATGAATGAATGAGTGCTATCTGAACATGTATTATACACAACATCATAACAGTTAACAGTATTCATTGCTATTTCAGGAGATCTACAGTTTGCAAATCTAGTCTGGTCACCAAGCTATAAAAGAACCCCAAAATTTTACAGAAATCTTAACACTAATCTCATGCTTTGGTGTTTAAAAATTTACATTCAACATAAGTGGGATAATCAATACACACCGTTATCAAAGTATCTGACCGTTGAGTTTCTGGACACGCTGGGATCGAAATTTGCCATTAAAGGTGCGATATACTGTGTAGCTGTAAGCATTCGATGCACAACTTCTCCAGTGTATATGAAACCTAAAATTAAGAAAATAAAACATACATTATGAAAAAGAAGCTCTGCCGTGTGCAGTGGTGCATGTCTGTAATCCCATCACTCTCAAGAAAGGAGGATCACCTAGAGTTGGAGGCCAGCCTGAGTTACACAGTGAGCTCATGGCCAGCCTGAGCTACAGTGTAGGACTCTGTCTCAAAAATAATAAAATAAAATAAAACAAAATAAAAGGAAAGGAAAGGAAAAGAAAAAGAAGCCCAGACAAAACTGTTATTAAAGTATTTTTCAAATTTATGGATTGTCTTTTGACTCTGTTGGTGATTTCCTTTGATGTGCAGAAGCTTCTTAATAAGAGGAGGTCCCAGTTGTTGATTTTTTGAAGTATTTCCCATGAAGTTTGACTTTGTTCGTAAAATGTTGGCCCATCCCTAAATCTTCAAGATTTCACCTACTTTGTCTTCCAGGAGATTTAGTGTTTCTGTTTTAATGTTTAGGCTTTTAATCTATTTTGACTTCAGTTTAGTGCATGGTGATAGACCCAGGTTTAGTTTTAGTTTTCAGTATGTGAAGAGCCAGTTTGTCCAGCACCATTTGTTAAAGAGGCTATCTTTCTTCCAGTAAGCATGTTTGGCACCTTTACCAAAGATAAACATCTTAACCAATAATCATTCAGACAAAGGTCTTCTATCTAGAATATATAAAGAACTCCAAAAAAAAAAAAAAAAAAAAAAAGAGACCCAAAACATAAAGACCCAATCCAAAAATGGGCATGTGGAATGAATACACACCTCTCAGAGCATTTACACAAGAGGCAAATAAATACCTGAAAAAATTCTCCACATCACTGGCCATTTGAAACATACAAATTAAAACACTGAGATACCATCTGACCCCAGAAAGAATGGTTATTATAAAGAAATGAACTAATAACAAATGATGGAGAGGCTGTGATGAAAAAGGAACCCTTTGCCACTGCTGGTGGGAATGTAGACTGGTACAATCATTATGGAAATGAATGTGGAGAGGCCTCAAAAAGCTAGGATTGGAAATCTTAGTCAATCCAGCTATTTCCCTTCTGGATATTTTCCCAACAAAGCTGAAAACATCATGGCATAGTGATATATGTGCACCCATGTTTACAGCAGCACAATTTGTCATAGCCAAATCTTGGAAGCAATCAAAATGCCCATCACCTGAGGAACAGATGAAAAAGATGTGGTATTTTTACATAACCAAGTGTTAGTTATATAGAAGGTCAAACTTGAAGCCTTAATAGGTAAGTGGATGCAGCTAGAGGATATAGTCAAAAGTGAAGTAAACCAGATCCACAAGTGTAAATATCATGTTGTCTCCCTGGAGTAAGAACCCAAAAGAAGAAATAAAACCTGAAAGGTATAACAAATACAGCAAAATAAAAAGAAATGAAACTGAAGGATTAAACAGCAAACCGGAGAGAAAGGAGAAAAGGTAGGAAAAAAAGAAGGGAGAAAAACATACAAGTATATAAGCAGGAAGGCTGAGGTGATTGTACTAAGCATTTCCATCAAGTTTTTGAAAATAGCAGTTAACGTGTGGAATTTTCACCTTGACTAACTCCTCATGCTGATATCTGTATCGAAGCAGCTACATAGAGAACAACCACGTGTAATACAGAAGCCATGTTTGAATACCTGTCATCTTGCTCATCTAATTGTGCACCTTTTCTAATATCCTATCAGTTATTACTATACTCTCTTTAGAATAAATTTTTGGGGGCCGTGGAGATGGCTCAGTGGAATAACTGCTTCCCTGGCAAGCACAAGGGCCTGAGTTCAATCTCCGGCTCTGCAAAAATAAATAAATAAATAAATAAATAAATAAATAAATAAATAAACAAATAAATATAAAAAAGGTAAGCAAAGTAAAAAGAGACAAGAAAAAATTTGATTTTTCTTGAAAGCAAGCGGTAATATTCAATCATATCTCTAATCTTATATAACTATTATTAACAATCTGAGCAACAGATTTGATGATAAAAAAGATTATATATCAACCATTATTAACCACCTATTCTAGTTTTGAAAATCTGTAACATATGTATTGCTATATGTTATCCTGTTTTTGTCTTTGTTTCTGATTTTTCTTGTTTTTGTTTTTACTCTTTAAAAGAAAATAAAATAAATTTTTTTAAAAACCCAAAAATTTGTCATTAAAATATTTCCAACTTAACTGTAATCATATTTTGAAAATAAAATATAGAAGTTATGTTTTTAAGAAGGGAAATGATATCTTAATGCCTGATTAATAACACAACATGGATAAAGTAACAATTTTCATATAATTTGCAAATACGTTTCAGACTGGAAAATCAAGAAACCTATGATATGTACAACTTTAATTTCAGTGTCCTACTTTTCAGTGACTACTATTCAACATATGTAAGTAGGCTTAAAAACACTAATATTGCATCATAAGTAACTCTATTATTTAGATTTTCTATTAATACTAGCTAGCATGAAAGTCCTTTTTACAAGTGATTTTATTTTCAAGCTATTTGTTTGTATTTTCTTAAACTGTGAATTTAGTGTAGGCTTTTTTTTTTGTTTAGCATAGTGCATTTTAGAAATGGCACATGCTAAAATGCAGAGAATATTTTCCATTCCTTTTGCTTATTTTTAATTGAAAGAGGGCTAAATACCCAAGGCAAAGTTTCCAACTTTCTCAAACCTCTATAATAATAGCACCCTATCAAGAAGATAAGGTCTATATGTTTTCAGAGAAGATGGCAAAATATTGACACCGTACAAATTCTTCTTTATTTAGAAAGCCATCAATGCAGTCTATTCTAGCAGTTGGAAAATGAGACAGAATTTACTAAAGAGGACTTCAGCTTTGAATTAACTTTCAGTAGTTCCTATGTTACAACTCAAACCCATTTTCAATTATTCACACTAGGTTTATTTACTTTGTAGACTATCCGTGACAAATGGTTAATCCTATGCTGGCTCCTTGCCTCCAAGGTCTTTAGCTGCCTGAAAGAAGAGCTAGTTCAGGGAATGGTAACTGATTTAAATACTAATCTATGAAATGCACAATTAAGAACAAACATGCAAATGAGCACACACAATATTATAAAATGAAAACAAATCCCTTGTGACAGTGCAATTGTCATCAGGCAATCATGCATTAACTAAGTATTTGAGGGTACTGATCATTTTTATATTTTTACGAGAATTAAGAAACATACAAGGCTTTAAAAAAATTGTACAAATTGTGTGTTATTTAAATCTCAAGGTGATAGAAACCTTGAGAAAGCCACTAAGTGTCACTTATGATTTAAATAAAGTTTTTCTTGGTGCATTGTGGTACTTATTTCTTCAAATTCTGAACTGTGGTTTTAGGGGTTTTTTTGGTACTGGGGATTGAACTCCGATCTTTGCGCTTGCCAGGCAGGCACTTATGCAGCTGAACTATCTCCCCAGCCCCTGAACTGTGTTTTTTAAGTAAACTCTTGTTAAATGATATCTGTAGTTATTTACAGATTTAGTAAATATTTTATTTATTAAAAGATCTTAAAACTCCTTTACTAAGAGACAGCATGTTAATATGATTTTTTGTTTTTTAATCTTTTATTTACTTCATACAGGGTCTCACTATACAGTTTGGAGTCCTAGTGATCCTCCTGTTTCAGCTGCTCCAGTACTGAGATTACAGGCATGGGCCACCACACCCAGTTTTGGTGGCCAGCATGGCATGCCCCAGGGTTCTGCGGCTGGCATAGCGTGCAGTACCAAGGATTGACCCCAGGTCCTTGTGCTTGCCAGGCAGGTGCTTAGACTGCTGTGCTATCTCCCCAGTCCAATATGGTTACTGTTTCTATTATATTTGTCTAGATTTTCAATCATGCCCTTAATGTTCAAAGTCTAGTACCACAACTTTAAAATTAGAAGCATACAAAATAAGTTTTGGGGAAAATTATGGTGTAATATCTTGGACTCAAGAGTATGCATTTAAAATTTCATCATTAAAATGGATTCAAAATTCTGTAGTAATAATCTTTAAGTGTTTGAATTGCACTCCTACAGATTTCTTTCAGAGAGAATAGCTAGATATTCTCCGTATGTCTATGCACCAGAGGGAGAAATTATTTTATTTAGAATACAGAGGGAAGAAATTCAAGGCAGGTAGATAATTTTAAATCAGTGCAAAGTCCACTCTGCAAAACAACTACATAAGAAAGGGATCACTGGGCCGCAGAGATAGTTCAGTGGCATGAATGCTTGCCTGGCAAGTGCATAGTCCTGAGTTTTTTTGCAGTATTGATACTGCAAAAGAAGAAAGGAAGAAAGGCAACATTAATTCCTAGAAAGAGAGAGTCACAAAATTTGGAAGAACTGATGATTTGAGATACTTGATTCTTTTTGTTTTTTTCATGAAATATTTTTTGCTTGACATATTTGCATATATTTTTAAATACACATAATTTTTTGTTGTAGGTAGCTGAGTCAGATAAAAATAATATAGGCAGTCAGACAGGGCTAGGCTCTGAAAGGAGCCAGTAGGAAAGTCAAGATACTTTACAACTGTGGGAAAGACTATGGGCCTCAAGACAAAAGATAAAGCAAATTCACCCATATACCTCTCTTAGGATAAACATCACGGATTGATATTCTAAATAGGTCTCTAAGACCTTGAGAAAGTCACTAAGTGTCACTAACCCTACCCCCTCAAGGAAAATCTCCTGCTCTGTATTCATGCCCATTTGCTGTTTGACTTATTTCCCAATTTGATTATGATTTAATCAAATTTACCTGAGTAATTATGCCTGTAATTTTTTTTTTTTCGGTTGACCATAATTTTGTCCTACCTTATGCCCACCTCGTGAGTTTCCATGTTCTCCACCTTGAGACCACATCACCTTGTGAATTTGCTCTATAAAAATCTCTTTAAAAAATGGCTGACAAGATAGATCAGTGGACTAAGCAGCTGCTTAGGCAAGTGCAGGAACCAGGGTTTGATCCCAGCCACCATACTCTTCATCGGC